ATGTATGTATGTATGTATGTATGTATGCATGCATGCATGGATGTATGTATGCATGTATGTATGTATGTATGTATGTATGTAAGTTTGGATGCCTCTTGAAGAGAAGTTCGTTATATTCATACGGTGAGAAAGAAAAACAGGATCTCGTTTGATTTTCGAAAGAAAATTTAAAAAGACTCTTCTTTTAAATCCCCAAATAACGTGGACACACGAAGAAGAAAAATGAAGCAAAAGTAAACGTGAAGAAGAAGAAGAAGAAGAAGAAGAAGAAGAAGTGAAAATCACCCACCGAAAATAAAATCTGAAGAAAGTCGAGTCATGAGGCGACGATGCACCACCATCACCACAAGAAAGAATTCTTCAATTGCGACAAACTTGCTCGAGAAAAATACGAAGGATGATAAATAAAAGTGACGATAAAAGGTATCGCACGCGTGTCTCACCGATGACTCTTCTCGACGTAATATATATATGTTGGCGTTATTTTGTGAAATCCATTAATTCGTGAAACGACTACCTAAACCCTAAAATAATTACATTGATCTGTTTGAATATGAAAAAAAGTGGAATGATATACTTCAACCAGGTAATATATGAATTTAAAAAGAAGCGAATAGGTAAGGTATAAAATTGAAATTCGATAAAACAGCAAGATTAACAGAATATTTGTTTTCAAACTACAGGAAGATATAAGAATGAATAATTAGGAGCATTATTGTAAAAAGAAAAAGAGACTTTAAAGAAGGATTAAATTTCAATTTGAGAGATACTTCGACTACTCGTCTTTCGTGAATTAATATTTTATCCGAATTATTTCACGTAAAACAAGTAATTGAAAGTTATGACACAACATTTTATTTATATATACTTTCCCGCGCGAAAAAACGCGTTGAAGTTTTATTTTAGGTAAAACCTGGTGTTTTCACGATTTAATTGATTACGAATTATACAATTTAACGCTGACATACGCATACATACTATACCTGTTCGTTCTTAAAATTCGCTTATCTTCGTCGTTGTCGTTTCGAAATATCGCGTGAACGTGAATTTCTTCACGAATTTCACGATGTGAAGATGATCGATAGCGAAGAAAGCGTTAAATTTTAGCACCCTATTCTTCCTCCCACATCGTCCTCGTCGTCCAAACATTGTTATCGAGGATGATTAGCTGCATGTTTACTATTAACATTAGATAGACGAGTAATTTTAGCGCGAGTCAATATTTATTCTTTCAATTTATTATACAAGGATGGACGCTCGACTTACTAATTGGACGGTCGAAAAGAAAAAAAAAACAAAAAAAAAAAGAAAATTTGTTCTAACAATAAAAAGGATTCAACGATTCACGCACGTTTATTTATTATCCTTTTAAATCAAAGTAAATCATCGTTATTTTTGAATTCAATAAAATATATTATCTTGCGTATCCATGTCCTGATCGTAATAACAATTAGATTATAAGTCATGAAAATTGCAAAATAATTCATACTTTTTTTGTTTTTGATTTATTTTATAATACAAATATAATTGTATTATAAAATAAATCAAAAAATAAAATTACTTTCTTTTTTTTTCAACTTTTTTCACTTAAATCTCATTAATATATAATTATCGGCAGCTATATTAGATGCTTCTTGTTAAACTCATTGCCGTTATAAATTGTACTTATATACTTGTAAATACGTCATAATTAACTGTACGCGGAGCACGGAATTGACGCGAGCAAATGGAACTTTCATTATTTCTTACTTTATTTCTTTTTTTCTCAACTTCGATCGTCCAAAGTAAGTACAACACCTCCACATTCTCCTTCCTTTCTTCCACTTCCTTCTCTTGTGTGTGATGACAGTAGTATCGCCGTCGTACTTAATTTATTAATAACGATGAGATTTTTCGATGTTTGAGAATTTAAGCGACGCCCAGGATGCTCTGGGGCTTCGGTTACGACGAGAACTCGTCTTCTGACACATAGCAACGTCACCTGAGGGCCACTTTCTACCTGTTTTTTTTTCTTTTTGTGTGTATAACGATGATATTCACGAGAATGATAAATATGAAAAAAAGAAAGAGGGAGAAAGAGGGAGGGAGAAACGATCGAATCGATTTACCGTTTCTCCAACAACAAAATATCACGAAAATTATCCTATTATTCGTAGCTCGTAAACGTAACATTTGAAAAAACGACGATCTGCAAATAGGAACGCATATTTCGCGGCCGATTGAATTATGGTTCGTCGATCTCTTCGAACGTAGTATATTAGAAAGAGAAAAAGAGAGAAAGAGAAAGAGAGAGAGAGAACATAAAGACTAATAAAGAAAGAGAAAGAACAACGCACACACTTTACGAACGGTCGAGATCCGAGGTAAAAGTTTCACGAGAGGAATTTATCGGTCACAATAATAATACTCGTCTCTCTCTTTCTCTTTCTTTCTTTCTTTCTTTCTTTCTTTCTTTCTTTCTCTCTCTCTCTCTCTCTCTCTCTCCCTCTCTCTATCTCTCTCACTCTCTCTCTCTCACTCTCTCTCTCTCTCTTTCTACTGTTCTCAGACTCCGCGAACTCCCTCTTGCTTTTTCCTTGATTATCCCACGAGAACACAAATTTCTGGAATGTAAACTTCTTCGAGTTCTCGTCGCCGGCATTTTCTCGTTGTCGTGGTCAAACGATTAACGTTCCTGACAGTCTCAAAACTGTTCCAGGAAAAAGAAGAAACCTTACAACGTGGATATATACCCTTCTATACTCGAGATAAAACGATTCGAGAACTCGCCACGCCGAGTCAAATGTTATTTAATTGAATTCGCAAAGAGCTTTAGAAGGAAATAATGAAATATGATAAAAATCGATGAATAAATATACTACTTTAAACGATTATAGGATCATTACTGTTAATTACTGGTTGTATTACTTAGGAATCACTTGGGAAGGGGAAAGGGAGAACAAAATATATGACTAGGATAACTGTAAATTCATTTTTCGTCGCTTTATTGTAAGCATTTATAATTCCATAGATTGTGTGTCGCGTTAAAAGCGAATTAAAACTGCAATAAGTGATCCTCTAATTATTTTGGATAACTTAAATATATATATATATATATATTGGGTTGCTCGTCAATTATAAATATATATTCGATATATAATTTTATATATTAATATATATATTATATTAAAATATAGAAATGTTGCTTATTAAATTTGTTTTTTTTTTTAATCGGCACGAACTATCCGCGCGCACGCGGGCAACCCAATAAAAATCCTTTTCTCTCTCTCTCTCTCTCTCTCTCTCTCTTTCTCCTACTTTTTAACTCAAAAATCATTCATTAACTCCTTATCTTGTATCAATGTAGTATACTCGTGGGAGGATGAGCGTCATAATTCTTCTATAACGAAATGTTCCGAATGGATGTTATGCATGTATGTCTAATATTCTTTCAAAGCGCTCTTCTTTCAAATGTACTTGTATTATACGACGATATTATTACCGCACTCTCGTTCGAATTAAAATACGTTGCTGATGTACGTTTTTTAACGTGGACAGCGTATATTTGAAAAGGAAAAAAAGAGGAAAAAAAAAATATATATATATATATATATATTCAAAGGTATAAAAACAAAATTAGTGCGTACGACTGCTTCAAATATCCAAAAGAAATAATAATATATAGTTAAACAAAAAAAAAATTAAAATAAAATAAAAGAGAAGAAACTTATTACCTAGTTCGAATGAAAATTACGATGATATAGTTCCTCTACTTACTACTATATATGACATAAATTCTATGTAAATTATTATTTTAAACATTATCGTCTTCGTCATCTTCACCATCATCATCATCATCATCATCATTATCATCGTTATCATCGTCATCATCATCATCATCATCATCATCATCATTATTTTTATTATTATTATTATTGCCATTATTATTATTATTATCATTACTATAATAATTATTATTAAATTATTATTACTCTATTACTATTATTACTATTACTATTATTATAATTAGCATTAGGATTAGTATTATTATTGCAATTAGAAATTTTTGCGATATATCTTCTCTTTATTCTACTCTCTCTCTCTCTCTCTTTTTTTCTTTTTTTTTTTGCGAGGGGTCATTAAAAAAAGAAAAACTTTTAAAAAATAGATCATTTTTTTTTGCTGATCGAGTATAGAAAAATTGATAAGCGACCACTCTTATCCTTATCATCATTATTAATATATTATTTTATTGTTACTTTTATTGTCACTATTGCTACCATTAAATTAATTATCATTCAAGAAATTTCAATTGAATTTTGGAATTATCATTATCACCAACCATTTTATCAATAATAGTAGTAGTAGTTACCTTAGTATATCGACGTGTAATCAACAAAATAGAGAACGATCATCGGTAAATGCTGTTTCGACTACATATATTCTGACATACCGATCGAGACGGCGTCCATTTTGAAATCCTGCGCTGGGCGCAAAAATTTGAAATCTGTTTATCTACTTACGATCATATGAGATAGTCCCCCTCTCGCTCTTCCCTTATTAAAAAATTTTAATATAAAATCGGTAGTAGAAGAAAGACAATAAAGTTCTGTTAATGTGAAAAAAGAAAAAGAATAATTGGAAATTAAAATTAAATCTGATTTTGTCTTCTGTTTACATAAAGCTTTGTTAAAGATATAAACAAAAACAGAAAAATGTCATTAGTTGAATTCGATAATTACCTAAAAAATACGTAACGAGATTTTTAATATTTGCGCGCTTATAAAAAATACGTACATACATGAGTATGAGTGTATGCGTGCTTGTATAAATGTGTGCTTATTTACATATATATATATATATTTATATATCTGATATATTACGTCATGATATATTATATTATATTATAATCATTTATCGAACTCTCTTTCATTAAGACTTTATTTAAAATTTGACGAAGTACTTCATATTTTGAATTTCATGTTTTGTTCTTGTTTTAGAACTTTGTAAAACTTATTTCATAAATTCAATCGTAATCCGATCGTAATATCGAATATAATGATTACATATGATTAAATTCAGGATGTAAGAGATTGAATTCTAACTTTAGAGAAAAATATTTCAGATCATAAGAATATAATCGTACATATATGTACGTCACGATTAAAAATAATAAATAAAGAAATAAATAAATTATTTAAACGTTCTTAAAAAACGTAAAAGAATTGTAAACGCATAACTTATATTATTGAATTAACTCTAAGATTTTAAAATGCTTTATCTAGATCATTAATGAAAATAAATTAACTTATATAAATATAATGAACGAATATATAAAAATATAAATAAATGAACGGATGAGAAGAGAAATATATATGCATATATATAATTTATAATTTAGTATTTGTAATGTATATTGTAATATATATGTTATCATATTATAGCATTCATGACTATATATATTATATGTATGTAATATTATATGATTATATTATAATATATAAATACAAATTATATGTATTGACAAAATTATATATACATATATACGTAGTATATATATATATATATTATGTGCATATGTATACGTATATCATTAGTAACTACTTGCAAGACTGTGGAACATTATAGGTGTATAAATGTTTAAATAAATTATTATAATGTGGCAATCAATTATATGTTTTTTTATGTATATAATTAACTGATAATACAGTATATAAACAAATTATCGATAAATTTTTATAAAATATACTTACCGGTTCGTATTTTCTCGTAAATATTCGTCGAGTTATCTACTCGCCTAATTAATTATTTAAAAACGCGTTAACGTAAACTTTATTCCGTAATTATTATTAAATATATGTCTATATTTGTATATAAACATTTATGTGTTCTTCTATATAGAAACTTATCCGATAAATTTAAATTACAAAGATTACGTATATTTCATTCTTCTAGCTACCGGTAGAAGCAGCACCAGTTGCATACAACTCGAACGCCATCTACCGTTCAATCCAATCAAAATTCTTTTAGTATAGTGCAAGAAGGATTTTTGCTATCGAATGGTGTCAGTGTAATTCAATATTTTTTGTATTATCAATTTTCGTGAAATAATTTTTCGTAGCACGGAATTAAAATCCATATAATATTATATAATTATAGAGTAAAAATTTTTAAATTCAAAATTCTATAACCTACAAAAATATGTCTGCCACTAAATTACAGGTAAGGTAATAATTGCAAGAAAAATTATAATTTATATGTCCTAATTAGATAAAATATATAAATGAGAATAATGTTTTAATTTAAATTATATAATAAGTTCTTATCGATTTTAGTCATTATATTATTTTCCAAAACCAAATCGATGGACTAAAGGAATAGGAGCAGCTCTACCAGAAGAATATAAAAAATTTTGGAAAGAATGGAAAATTCAACAACCCACTGCGGTTCATTACATAAAAGAGGAGGGAAAATATACTAGAAATGAAAAAACAGGAGAAGTGTATGTTTTAAGAAAAAGTTAACTTATATATATATATATAACTTATATATATCAAACTTTTAAAAGAATATTTATCATTTGTTTCATTGTAGTTATCCGGTACAAAATATACCGATTCCTCTGAAATATCCAAATGAATTTCACCAGTGTATATTAGGTGGAGAAGCTATAGTCCAAGGTTTCATGAAACGTGGAAAATATAATCGCAGAAATCCTCATTTTTGGTTTCCTGTATTAAGGAGATCAATACTCTATAGCGAAGTTTTGGATACATATATAAGAACTATCATTACATTGAGAACTATTAATTTAATTCATGAAAATTATGGATTTGATCATTATTTATTGAAGGTATGTATTAGGATATAAGAAAGTATTAGGAAAATATTAGCAAATAAAATTAAAATTCATTTCCTAGACTCCAGCGTGCGACTTGAAATCAGAACTCGCTGTGAAACTAAAGCGAGAAATACTTATTGCATTAGCAGATAAAACATTATATCCAAATGATGAAGCCAAGCGAGAAGAAGTATATAACAAATATTCGCAATATTTATCTTCAGTAAGTTATTATATTTGTTAACTGCTTTAACTTTGAAAATATTTTTATTTGTATTAACTTTCACTTTTTAGTATACGCGAGCAGAAATTGAATGGTATGGCTTAACGTTTAAGGACGCGTGTAAAAAATACATTAATATGCAAAAAGAACAAACTATAGTCGAACCATTAAAAATTAAATACAGATCTGAATTAATAGCTCAACTTAAAGAAAACAATATTGAAGAAGCACAGGGTGTTGATGTCAGTTTACCAGATAAAAAGTATGTATTGTATAAATAATCTTTCTAAACATTTAAACTTTTAACTAAACATAATTTTTATAGGGACGCTTCGTGGTTATCCAAATGGAATCCATTTTAAAAGACATCAGAAACCAAATAGATAATATTTTTAATTTGATAATGGATATTTTGTAAATAGTAAAAATAAAAGAAAAGTATTTCAAGTAAACGTAATACCCAACATATGTTTTCTTATTTTTACACAATACAAATTTATTGGTATTAGATTTTTAAATTATTCGTGGTGATATAAAGTGTTCTTTATATGATGTTAAAATCGATTTTTAAGAACTTTCATTATTACGAAATTATTAAAATCTGTAGTTATTTAAAACTTTCCTATAGAGAAAGATAAAACAAAATAAAATTCAAGATTCACATATATATGTATATTGTACCCTAAATATGAAAGAAATTGTCTAAGAAAAATCTTAAATTTGAAACAAAATTTACTAAACTTCTTTTGACGCAAGCAATAATAAAACTATGATATTGAACATTCTACATCACCATCTTTTGGCAAGCAATCTAATAATGATGCTACAGCTCTTGTAATGTATGTCATTGTTCCAAAACTACCACTAGGAGCACTATCATAAAAGTGTTGGCACACGTAAGCTGCTCCTCCACAAAGAAGATTTCCCAATGCAGTTGTTTCACGCTGTTCTTTCGGTTTGGCACAACAGAGAGTAGCATCACCATCGACTTTCATCTAAAGATAATATATTGATTAGAATTCTATGCATAATATAATATGATATATTTTTATTATTATTATTATATATTCACATAAATATTCAAATTAATGGCCACAGTATTCCATACCTGATCTTCCAAAAAGATAGCATTAGCCTTATGTACTAAATGTTCAACAGCAATAAGACCTCCTAAAGAAGCTACTGCATTATGTTCAGTTACCAATGTTAATACCATTAAAGCTTCAACAACAAGTTGACGATATTCTGGTTGCGGTATGGTGTTTAAAACTGTCTCTACCGCTAAAGCAAATTTTAATTCACCTGGTGTCATTTCTTGAGTAAGATTTTGAGGAAGAACACGTCCCTCAATAGCTAAACCTTGACACTAGAGAAAAGTCATAATAATAAAAAGTTAATAAATAAATAAGTTAGTATATATAGTCCGGTCAATTTAGACATTTGAAGTTACAAAAATTGCCGGAAAGCTAAATTTTGGTGGAGAGCTGTAGCTTACCATTACAAATAAAGTCTGAAAAGTCCCCATCGATTCTATGTGTGCGTTAAAAGTTATTCAAGGTCAAAGGTCGAAATTTTAGGTTTTTTGGATTTTGCTT